TGTCGATCGATTTTTGTTAATCGATTTAATCGATCTTCAGTCGATTAATCGAATTTTAATCTATCCCTTATTTGCTCATTGGATCATGTCCTAGACGTAGGGTATGATTCTGTTCGTATCATGACATCTAGGCGAACCTTAGGAAATGACTGAAGGCGATGCAGTCACTAGCAGCAGTTACTATCCATGCGCACTAGTTCATCCTACATGTGACGCTTCCAATCGGAGAAAGAATAATAACAACTTAGCCAGATTGATAATGGTAGGCAAGGAAACGCACTGAGGCCTTGCGCCTTTTAGCCAACCCGTCCCGGAAGGATGTAAAAATGTAACCTAAATGTTTGGAAATACAGTGACACTTCATCACGTGGAGATTTAGAGATTCATTATCGATTCTCGGGCAACACAGGAGGGAAAAACAGAAAAAGCAAAGAATAGCAGAGGATTTCACCCTTTCGTTTCCTCTTCTCTCGCCCGCTTCCGGCTTTCTCCCGGTTATTTTCCAGGGGCTCCCGCAGACCTTCGCACATGTACGCCTCTCACTCCCCAGTCGTTACATCGACCTATTTCTTGCCTCTCCTGTCCCACGTTCCTGCCCAAATTCCCTATTCCTTCTGCGCGTTCCCTTGCAGCTTCTTCATTACGACTTTCTTTTCTCCATTCGCATCCAGTGACTTTTCGGTCGCTTTGTCCTCGGCTCCTGCTACCTTAGCCTGACGCGCGAGGCCTTTCTAGGCCGTAGGCTTGGTGGAAGGACGCGGGATGGATACCAGTACGCTTGTGGGTGCGAAAGGGTCAGGAAGCTTCATTTTGGAATAATCTGAAAGCGATGGCTTTGTTTTTTGGGTGTGCCCTTTTCCCAAAGAATATTATGTCATTTTTGAGGAAGAGTGAGCAGTGCGAAAACGGCTACCTTCTATAAGCCATCATTACATTTAATCCCCTCGATAAAGCACTCGTTTTCGGTTGTTTTGCAAAACTATGAACTACACAGTCAAATTCTAAGGGGAAAAAGAGGCTTTCAAGGGGAGATTGGGTGTCAATTAAAATTCGATCAATTTCGACTAATTTTTAAAATCGCGAAAAATATTGATACTTTAATAGATTAATTGGTCGATTAATCTAATCAAATTGATAGCCCTAAATAAAAACGTTCCAAAGGTTTCTTCGCGAGTCGGTGAACGATCGGTACCTGCCTGCGTCCGCACGAGAGGTTTCCCGGGCAGGTGTAGTGCGCACTCCCTTCGCTAGATGTCGCGGGGGTGAAGGATTGAGCACGGATTCTCGCTGAGAAGCCCGCAGTGTGTCTCGGACGTCCGGGGTGCGAGCGAGTGAAACGCCTGCTCCGGGCTGTTCAAGCTTGGATCTGCTTGCCGGATCTCCACTGATATATGCAGGAGGTCGGTTTCTTGTTTCAAGTTTTTTTTTTGCTTCTCACGCTTAGATCGCTATCTGATGTTTTCCACCCCTTCCGTGTGTAATTTTCCCCCAAAAAATTCGGTCCAAAAAAGGTCAATTTGTTTTATTTAGATTTATTTCCATGAAAATTTCAATAACAGAATACACTAACTTGTTACATAATTTTGCTATATTTTAAGTATTATATCTATATTCCCATAGGCGTGCGCAACGGGGGTAAACATGTACGCATTAACTTGAATTTGTTCTGGTGGGCGGCTCTACTCGGGCCAAAGCGGATTCATCCGGATATTTCGTTTCGCGAAGCCTCTTTTACCCTGGTGGTTCGCGTTACACGAATCACCAAATATTCGAGAGATCCATCAGGGGTAGAGAGCTGTAGAGAAATGCGGACGCGACCCATCTGTGGCACAAGAATGGATGAAATATCGCCATCAGAGAGGCGCATTCGTTCTGCGGAAACATGCTATAGAGCTCATTTACTCGGGTGTTTGCGAATCGATTCCTAACCTTTCCCTGAATGGGTGTGGCAGCTCGTGAGCGGAATGCGTGTGATTTGCCAGTCATTGAGATATCCTTCTGTTAGCAATGAAAGTTCTCATTCTCTCAATGTCCCCTTTTTCCCCTGAAAAATTAAATCTCTTCAGTGCGCAAAGGATGAAGTGGATAGCTTCTAGCCTCCCTGATGCATGTTCCTGATTTTTTTTTCCTGCGGTTAGTGCGGTTAGTACACTCTTAGAAAAAGGAGAGCGATTTTTCTCAAAAAAAGAGAGTAAAATCGCTAACTCCAGTTTCACTCCCCTTTCACTCTGGGAAATGAGCGAATTTGTTCCATCACCAAGGAGTAAAATTGCTCTCCTCAGAAGGAGATAGGGATGTCATGCAAATACGCAAACCCTCTTTTAGTGCGTGGGACGCTTTCGCTCTCGATTTTCTCGGTGCAGGCGTTTACCTACATCTGACTGTACTGATTACAGTACATGTCAGAGGATGGACCACCATGAAGTGTCCACGATACAAGTTCTTCATTTCCTCGTTCTCTCATCAAGCTAAGGAAATAGAAGAATTGAGCTCACGGACCCCCCCTATATTTTCTAGATCTCTGTAGATCTCCTCTGAATATGAGCTAATTTTTCGCTGGGCTCTATGAATCTGTCTTGAATGTGTGGATAACAAAGATGACGAGTCCTTGTTTATTGATTCCTATAATGAGACTAGGCACGACATACGACGAGGCACTAACAATCCCGCGAGGGATGATTCCAGGGAAAGAGGGAAAAATTGAGTACTGTGCGAAAAACGAGACCTTACCTCCATCTAGTGGCCTAGCAAAGAACTTCAAGATATTCACTTCAATTCGAGCGATGAGGGAGCATTTGGTGAGTAATAAGAGTACATTTGAAAAGCTCACAGTGTCCTTACTTTTTACTCCCTAAACGCTCGCAATTTTCATAGATTATACGGTTAGTGCAGGGAACCGAGAATTGTCTTGGGTATTTGCATAGGCGGTGGATGTGACCTTGTTTTTGAATTTTGCTCCGTTAAAGACACCATGAAATTCTGCCTTTAAAAAATACTAATGTGCTTTTAAAACGGAAGCCTGTGTTTATATCTGCCCTATTAAGTCGCACTGTAGAGAAAGTGTGGCTCTGTACCGAAGCGGATTGAGGAGAACTTTAAGTTCTCGTATATTCATTAATATGGTAAATGTCCTATGTGGCTATTTTTAAAATTGCACCTAAGAAGTAGGTTTTCATAGACACATCTAGAAGGCGATCGTGATCAGCTTCAGCTTACAATTTGCGAATTTTCACGGGGGTGTAATGATGCTCATTACTTGCAGTAAACATCATCCCTGCTCGTGACGGTCTCATAAAATATGTATGAGTGATAGGAAGATGAATAGAGAACAGGAGATGGCGCAGCGCAGGATCCAAACTCGACCGTGCATGCATGCATGCAGAGCAGGGGATTCGCCATGCTTATGGGGCGACGAGAGCCGGGATTGTCCTGCGAGCACTGGAAAGTGCTACACAGAAGGGCGCCGTCACGGGTCCCGGGCACGGGGGGTCATTCAAACATGCCAGGGCTCAGTCATGTGCAACTATTGCAACCAGCCCAAAAAGAGCGGAAATTACGGGAATGATGAGAATTTCAAGGATTTTCGTTTATCAATCGCGTCCGAAGCACGTTTTTGGAAATTCCAATTGCAAACAGTGAGTTTGAATTGCAATAATACACGGGTTTTCGATGCAGGTGATTCCTCTATTACGGGACAGGTGAGTCGACTGTAGAGCATGCACCTGGTCCAAGAGTTCATGGAGGACAGGGACGCTCAATGAGTCTGATCGAGGAAGGGCTCGAGGTTCTTCCCATGATGCCTAAAGGCGTATTGAGAGGGAGAGGGAGGTGGGGAGGGGAGTCATTCCGATGGGTAGATCGAAGAAGTCGTATTGATAGAGAAGACTTCTGTCATGCCTTGGGGTTTCTCCCCAAGGCATGGGTTCGGCTTCCCGAACTCGTCAGGAATCCTAAGCACTATACATAGCACTATACAGTACTTTGGTTACGACCTGGGTACTGGTGGACAACATAGAAAATGCAAATTCTTAGTTTGATCTAAGAATAAAACTAGTACGGTTCTGAGAAGGAGGCGTTACTTAGCTTTTGTCGAGTGTGTGAACTCAAAACTCACGTATTGACCGGCGCCAATTTTATTCTGATGTGAAAGTTAGTTTTAATTTTCTCAATCAAGAGCAAACAACGAAATATGCTCGCTCAGTGACAAAAATGCTGAAGTATGCAGATATGCTCGTCTGTTGAAAGTATTCTCGAAGGTCCAAATATACTCTAAAAGAACCTTAAGGATTTTTCCTGGTGGCTCCTGAGGCACCTTGACCTATTTTCCAGACAGGAGGATGAAGTGTAACAAAAAAATGGGGAACCTATTCCTGCTTGTAATACAGGTAATGTAGAATCTCCTGTAATAAAAAACCACTAGTTTTCTGACTGTCAAAGTAGGATGAGAGCGACTGTAACATCTTATGTCTCCCCTCTCCCCCTGTGATGTTCGTAGCATTGTACCCTCATGAAATTGCGTACCAGGACTACACAAAATGAGTCTATTTTGATTATTGATAGACTCATTTTGTGCAGTCCTGTAGTATTTGTGTAACATTCCTGTAATATTTGTAGTTGTGTAGTATTTTGATTACTGATACGGAGTGTAGCATCCAGATACATTTTTCAACATCGTACAATCTATTTACCAGGGATATGGTGACTGTTTCCGATGCAAATGTTCACATGTATGACAATAGGTTACCCAAGGGTAACCTATTGTCATACATATGGATGGCACATATGCCGATAGCCTTATTCAAAATTGACCCATATTGCGTCTGAAACACGATATTAATAGGAGAGGATGCACTCCCGGGAGCCCCCCAGTGGCATATCGCATGCATCCCCAGTAGCTCCCTTCGCGGAGGAGATGACGTAACGGAAAAGGTGGTCGGTCGTTCATAGCGTGGAATAGGGAAGCCCCTTGACGAGGCCGTTCCTCAGTTCACCGCCAACCGCGTCTCGGTGAGCAACTCTCTCCAACGTGTCGCTGCGCGTGCATAGTCAATACCTTTGCTTATACGGTGCCTTCACTCTATCCCTCCGCTCTGCATGTGCTGCCTCAACGTAAGTGCGTCGACGTTTCGTTTTAATTAGAACAGGGGCAGAAATTGATAATGGTGATGGATAATACGGGAGTGCCATGCCCGTTTGTATTCATGGCTAAACCCATCTCAGATCTCCCCCATTTTATGAAGATTAAGCACCTACAAAGATCTCGCTTTTCCCTCATCGGGGAAAGCTCGCGACCCAGTTTTCTCCGTGTAAATCATGGCTCTTAGGTCTCCTTCGACCCGCGGATTTATCCTTCCCGACCGTGAAATAAATCATGCCCAGTAGGCCAGCAACGAACGATTCTCCGAGCTTTTCTTACCTCGGATCGATATCCCTTCGATACGATACTTTTCGTATGATCCGGTTCGTGACTTACAGTACGGAACGTGGTTGCTTTTTAATGATGCGGATCTCCACGCCCAAGTTTCAGTGCGACCCCAGGGACTTACGCATGGGGCTGCCAAATCTCGGCATGTGGGATACACTCGCGAGCTAAATTGTCATCTGTCTCCAGCCCTCTTCCGTTGGAAGATCTGAAAGAACGATAAATTATTCGACTGCTAATTTTTAAGCACATATTTCGGAAGATGTGAAAGTCCGGGTGTGATTGGAGTTGGCCTTCCTCCGATGTACGACACGATGACTATTGATCCATGTATTCTCATGTATAATGTAAGGATCTCCCCCATAGACGAGACATATCCATTCTGATTTCCCCATATGTCCTGATGATCTTTCTTTTGTCCTTTGACAATCGCAATCTCATCCACAAACGCCCCATCCCGACTTCCCAAGCGTAAATCTCGAGATACTCAGCGTCGCGGTCACGCGATCGACAACACGGCAATGGCTCATTCTCTCCCTCGCATCTCGCCTTCGCAGCCTCACACTTCGCATTCCATTTCTGACCGAGAAGATCGCCTCTCAGAGAAGGTCCTCTCGATGGAAACGAGTTCCGAGTTTTTGAAGGGGTGGCTTAGCTTTCAGGCTCGATGCAGGACATTTTTTCTGGGGAGTTATATTAAGAATTTAACGATTGGAATTTGAAGGGAAGGTTTCACGTCGGTGTAAACCACGTGAGATTCCGGGGGCACAGATGCGGAAAAATCGAGGAAAAATGCCAGTCTCGTTGAATATTCCGTTATTGTGAAAGAAAAGGAATCCCAGCTATCCAGATCCAATTCATCCTGTCATCCTTTGCCCTTTGGTTTCCCCCCCCCCCCCCCATCCCGCTTTATTTCTAGCATGCAAGGGCCTAATTTCAGCCAGGATCCCTCGTTCCGACGTGAGCGTTTCATGAAAATGCGTAATGCTTCTGCGTCTGTTTCCCGTTAACGCGTAAATTATCAAAATTTCTCATCTGCTCTTGTGTCACGAATAAGGAAAAACCTGGTACATTTTATAGGCATAAAAGGATTTTGTGGAAGCCAAGGCTCCGTCTAAAGAGACATTAAGCCCTCTGTTCTTCCTCCTCGTAGATTCCTGTTACATGACTAGGGCTTTGGCCAAGTTCCACGGCTTCCTCTTTCCCCGTCCCTGGTACCTCTCGGTTCCAGTTCAGGAACATGACCTCACCAGTTGAAATATGTTTCTTATGCTGACAAGGACTTGTACAGAGAGCGGTAAATTAATTATTATTATTATTTTGCAGCAAATCAGTTGCACTTGGGTAACTCGGGTAGATGGAAAGCAGTAGTCCAAGGATCCCGACAAGATCTGGTGGTGGCTTCAGATGGTACCTAACAGGGTGGGGGGAGCCGGAAGTTTTTCTGCAGCTGTACCTGAGTCGATCTCGATCCGGAACGTCGACAGGAGCGTGGGTTGCGGGTACTCGAACGGGTGTAGGTGCAGCAGGGAAAATGAACGGGACACGATAGAGAAACCATTTTAGTAGGGATGCACCGTTCCAGGATTATCTGATACCGATACCGATACAGATAGCTCCCAGTGACTGTCAGAAGTGAAACCATAATACAGGACCAGTCCTTAGTAGGCCTTATGCTACCTTTGGCATAGAAGGGAAGAAATAAAAAATCCTCAGGCACTGATGACCCAACATTCAAAATTCCTGTCATTTATTCAGTTCTGGAGTCATTTACGTCGGCCAACATGATAGCTTCTCGAGTGTAGGCCAAAACTTCCCCCACCATTCGCCAGGCCTGCCAAGAATACGTCGGACGTAGTTACAACGTACAAAGGACGATCGGTTCTAAGAGGAGTAGAGGTAGGAACTACGTCTAATGTCCTTAACACGTTGACGACCAGCCTATTTTTGCTTGTCCGCCGCGTGGGACCACTCAGTTCCAACAGTTCTCAACAGTTCCAATTCAGTGAAAAAAAATCTGCATCCTGGCATCAGGACGCATTGTCGCCAACGTGTTAAGGGATTAAGAAGTTGATGCAACTAGAACCAGGATCGGTGCTCGAGGGGAGAGACGGAGGTGGGATGGACGTGAGCACAAAGTGCGCCTGCGCTAACCAGTTAGCACAGGAAGGCAGGAGACAGGACGGAAGGGGGGGAAGTGAAAGAATTGATGCGTACGTGAATGACACTGGCCCATTCCATTTGTACAATGCCCTTCTCAAGTCTCTCGCATTCCGCTTTAACCATGCCCAAGCTCATTGTCTATCAGTTGGAGATTAACAAGAACTATGACGGACTTGAGGAACCGTATGTCATTACGAGTGGTTTTTTTTTCATGAAACGTTCCAAATATTTACACGCTGCGCATCAAGTACGGCGTGCCGCAAGGGAGAATCGGATCGGATCGGCCATATAGGTATCGGCCGATACCGATGCTTTGGATCGGTGTCGGTGCATCCCTACTTTTTAGCCTGATGTTAGGCTCGAGCTGGAAACGGACAAGGACTTGAGGGAGGGTTCACTCTGTACCGGGAAAGGGAAGCGAGCTCGGCGCCAGGTGAGTAGAGGGCTTCATTATCGGGTGATGTGGGCCCTAACGTCGGGGTAACACGTGGCATGAGTTTCTCCTGGACATCCTGACGGGACCATTAAGATAGGGCATCCCTGCGTTAAGAATTGTGATATCGGTTGAAGTGCCTGTGACAAGCGGGCACAACCTTATACCGTAATTGAAAAACGTCCGTTGTCTTATGCGTCTGCCGCATGCCTTGTCCTTTGAGAATGGCGCTCTTGAGCAGAATGGAGATAGAGATTATCAGTCACTAGAGGCAGTTCTTAGCGTTTGCACCTACTCAGACCAGACGGCGTGAGGGTGACCGTGAGAATTAACATCCCACGTGTATTATTATTGCCCTGTGATACTGCACAGCGGGTCATCCTTGAAAATTGTAAAGTGAGAGGATATTACGTGATATAAAAAGAAATAGTGGCAGCGAGTGTCCTAGTTCTAGGTAAGAACCTAACTTATGTGGCTCTGGTTCCAATCGAGCCGAGAGATTGCTTGGGTAATTCCTGCCCTGGATAGTGCCAGAAAAATGTACGAGATGCTTGTTATATCTTAGGGCTGCCCAACCCCCAATACGTCAAACAATTAACTCAGCTTTGTCCGCCCAGACTCGCATCAAGCTGGGCAACCCGTGACTAAGTGACTGCGATGGGTATTCTCATATTGAAAAAAGCAAAATTACTTTTAAGAACAGATCTTGGTAGGAAAAGGTGAAGGCGTGGGAATGGGCGTAAAATGTGACAGCGATGAAGCTCCTGTAGAGCAATTACAATAAAGCAAAAGAATCAAGCAACGTAGGACGCTGAATGAGTGGTTCCCTGTGCCTTGGAAGAGGAAACGGTGGAGCGTTAGATGAGGGAGAATTTTATCGAGTCGGGAGTTACGGGCAGTTCTGGGAAGCGCAATAGGGGGATTGCTGTCTGCGTGCCGTCATGGGTCCCGCCCACGCTCCCGTCACTAGTAAGGAGAAGGCATAGTTATGTAAATGCATCACCTTTGTTACCGTTCTATGCCAATTTCGTGTCGGCTCTGGTGAAGATTTACATCAGAGCGTCGAGAACCCAAGAGCGCAGTGCTTGGATTGTTCTCGCGCATTCTCATGTTCCTTTCCTGCCAGGATACTATGCACTGCAACCAGGAAGGGGGGTCGCGATCTCTGCTAAGTTTCATTTTCACTTTTTGTGCGCGTATGTGTGCGCTTTAGGGAAGTTTGTGAATTATTTTCGTGCATTACTCTATATGGAATAGGGGTGGAGTTTTGCACAAAGGAGGCATTGATTATCTGATTAGACAATCGATAATCGACAATCGTGAGTTCATACAAGTTTCACGGCCTTTAATGATCAATCCAGGTGAGGGCAGGGGAGAGGCAGGACAACCGAACGAGCACGTGCCTGCAAGGAAGGCGACGAATGCACATGAGCAGGGATGCAGGAAAGTGGAGTCTGATTTAGGTCGCGGGGAGGCAGACTGATTAAGGGCAGAAGGAGACGAACTGATTTAGGTCGCAGTGATCGCGAATACAGTGGATGGAATGGGAACAAGCTGGCTTAGGGGCTGGGACGGCTTCGGAAAACTGAGTTCCAATAAATTCTGGAGAACTGAAACTCAGAGATGGATATCGTGTTGTTGTTTGTGATACTCCCCATGCAAAATCTTCAATTTGACTATTCCCATTGAATCCTACCAAAGGGAGGCTTGTTTTCATCACAAAAATATTGGGGAGGACACATTCGACTTTGAGGACTTTGACTAATTAAATTATAGGTATTCGAAGGAATACGGATTTCATTTTCATTTGACATGAAGTGTGCAATATCTGGTCTTTACATTTGGAGAGCCAAGGTCCTACATGCAGGCCCTTTTAAGTTCAGATGTTGTTGACAAGGGAACTAAAAAGTGTCGCTCACTCAGATATTCAGTAGCATGTCACGCATAGCGATTGATGCGCAGTTACCATTTTGTTTCGCAAGTCTATCAAACCGTTAACTTAGGTCTGGTACGCAATATCTGTCAAACCCCTGTTTGTCAAGTGGTTTCAGGTCCGGTGGACATGAAGGCCAAGGGATGAGTCCCCCTCTG